CACCGCGCACCAAGAAATCGCTGCCCAGCTCCCTTTTCCTGCCGCTCAGCGGCCTCCGCTCGCACCGCCCACCCGCGCTCCACTCAGGTATCCGGCTGGGGCTGTCAGGAGTTGCTACCGCCGGCGCGACTCCGCGCGGCTCCAGTCCCACATTGCCTCGGGAAGGGAAAGGCAAAACCAGGAGCCGCTGCTGCCGTTGCAAAGCGCCGCTGCGGCTCTTCCTTTTTGCCTTTCCCTTCCTGAGGCAAGGCGAGACTGGAGCCACGCAGAGCCGCGCCGGCGGTAGCAACTCCTGACTCGGGGCCTCCGAGGGGAGGGGAAGGAGGAGAAGAAGGGGGAAAGGGGGGGCGATTCCCAAAAAAATCGGAATTCCGATTTTAATTGGAAGAATATCATGTCTGTGAATTTCAAGGATGGAATCCTGTGTCCTTCAGACATTTCTGTTGTCTGTTGTGAGTAGTCAAATTGTCCTCCGAAACACCAGGAAGGTCAAGTTATCTATCACTAATAATGTCCCCTTTCTGGGAAAGCAAATTGTCTTGGAGAGACAAAAACAAACCTGTCCCCAGCTTTTCAATGGGAAATCATGGAAAATCTCAACATTGATTTCCTACTTGGTCCACTATGCTTTTTCCATAGACTCCAAGCTCTCATCCAGAACCAAACGGATGAAGACTTCAGCCTCCAACAGACTGCAGGTAATCCCTTCTTTTTATATCTTCCCTCCAACTCCACAAAAGTGTCTTAGTGGAAGAAAAGATCTATCTCCCTGATGCAGTGATATGCATGAAAATATCAGAAAAGGCGCATGCTCAGGTCTTTTGAGACCAGTCAGAGTTCACTTCTGTCAGACTGACTGTTGGGCAGCTTAATGAAAGGTACATCAACATCATCGCCTGTCTAACAAAATGAAACTCAGTGTAGGGAAAAGTTAAAGATACTGGTACATATTAGGTAAAACTTGGTTCAATAGCAGCAATCTTGGAGTGTTGGTGGATAATCACTTAAGTATGAGCCAGTGGTGTACTGTGAACGTCAAAAAAGCCAACACAGTTCTAGGCTGCATTAACAGAAGGATAGAATCAAGATCACATGAAATATTAGTACCGCTTTGTAAGACCTTGGTAAGACTACACTTGCAATATTGCATCCAGTTTTCATCACAATATATAAAAAAATGTTGGGACTCTGGAAAGAGTGCAGAGAAGAGCAACAAAGATGATTAGGGTGACGGAGGCTAGAACAGATACAGGAATTGGGCATGTCTAGTCTAATGAAAAGGACTAGATGTGATATGATGCAGTGTTCCAATATTTGAGGGGCTGCCACAAAGAGAGAGTCAACCTATCTACTAAATCACCAGAAGGCAACGCAAGAACCAATGGTTGGAAACTAACCAAGGAGAGAAGCAACCTAAGCTGAAGAGAAAATTATTGACAATGAGAACAATAAGCCAGTGAAATGGCTTGCCTTTAAAAGTTGTGGGTGCTCCATCATTGGAGATTTTTAAAAAGATACTAAACAGCCATTTGTTTGGTATAGAGTCTTGCTTGAGCAGGGCTTTGGACTAGACTCCCAAGATCCCTTCTAACTCTGATATTCTGTTTGATCCGTTCCAGCAAGGAGACTTTCTACTGATCAGGGTGCTATTCCTACGGGTGATAGCAAACCCTCAACCTTATGCCTGAACTGTTCCTACTCTGACGAGTCAGAGGGGAGAACTAGCAACATGACCATGTCCATCAATGCATGTGTTTCAGTGCAGTATATAAACAAAGCTTTTGATTAGAAATTACTTATGGAGCTTTAGACGTTAGGTATAGAGAGAATGTCGAGTGTATTATAGATATATTCACATAACAGTTGCTATATTCAGGCTTTCCGGTTAACCAGGAAATGGTATGGGATATGCAAAATATTTCCCATTCAAAAATTCCAATTTCCAGTACAAAAAGCTCCATTTCAAAGTGGAAAGCAAGTTTCATATACTACAACATGAAACAAGCTACTTCGGTCGTATTAAAAATTTGCGTCAAGCTCCCAAATTAACTGAATCAGGCCATTTTGTTCTCTTACCAGCTTTCGCAGGAAGCTTAGTATAAAGCAAAAAGGTTAAATCGACAGAACAATTTCTTTTAAGGCACTTTTTCTGACCCATCATCCATTTCACAAAAAATAAAATGATGAGGCTCGGTTACAATTGTCAAGTCAGCTACTTCTCACAAGGAGGAAAAAAAACACAACCACTTACAAGAAAATGCCAATTTCACTAGAGCAAATGGGAGACATTTGGAGAAATATAGCACAACTGCCGTTTTTTAAAAAAATCAGTGTTGCATCCAGGTTTATGCTTTCCTAAAAAGTTTTTCTGCTGACAGTACAGATTTCTTCCTTCACATAGCCTCAAAATCTATTGTGATCGCTCCTCCAAACATTGAGGTCAGATTTTGACAGGGAGGGGGGAGAGAAAAAGGGAAAATCAGTTTCATTAGTAGTCTCCTAAGCAAGATGAATTCCACCCCATGTAAACTACACCAAATATGTACCCACACCGCCTATAGTAATCTCTCATTGCAGAAAGCTCTTTGCCCAACTCCATTTAGCCATAAACATGAGCTCTGCTTGTCTTTTGTACAGCATGTTTTAAAAGAAAATGCTGGCTTTAGCCATTCAACTTTAAAAAAAAACCTTCTATGGGCTTGAAGACGTTTTTGCAAATAAAGATTAGCAGAGAAGACCGACTGACACTTCACCTGTTATATCCCAACTCTACTCTTTTTGATTTTGTTTTAAATAAGAGGCAGTAGCAGTCCAATGATTCAAGCTTTAAGCTTTTTTTTTTTTTTTCTCAGAATGAGTTGTGGGAATAGTGAAATCCCAACCCCATTATTCAAATTTCTATGATGTGGAAAAAGTGAGATTTCTGGAGCAGGTTCCTCCCAGCTATATGGTTTTATAAAATAGTGTTTTTTGTTTAGTTAAATTCCGGGTAATTAGAAAAAGAGTGCAGTACTATTCTCTACGCCCCAAGGGAGTTTATTAGGCATCAGTTGTTGCATAGCGCCCTCTAGTGGCTCTGTCCAAGTTTGAAGCACAATTAATTATGGCCTTTATGAGCAATAACTAATCTGCAGCAAGTTATAGTCTCCATGGAAAGTCATTATAAACAAGTTGTTTTCCAATTACAGCACACATTTACTCAGGCATCCATTTTTTAAATGCCCAGAGTGTTTTATGCAATATTTATACATGATGAATAGTCAACAGGTTTTCTCTTTTTTTTTAAATCCCAATTTTGCAGCTAGAAACCTACAATGTGCTTTTAAGAGTACGTTTGGAAATGACAGCATAAGCCAGAGCTGATGGAACTGCTCTGCCCCACAGTTCTCAAATGCAATCCTACGAGTCAAACATAAAGAAACCTACCATTATTATGTTTCTTTTATATGAAAAGTTCCCTTTAGACCGGGGTAGGGAAACTTGGCTCTTCTATCACTTATGGACTTCAATTCCCAGAATTCCTGAGTGAGCCATAAAAGGTTCCCCATCCCTGGCCTACTGGTTTTTCAGTTGTGGGAGAAATGTATATTAAACAGTCCCATTCAAGTCAAAAATTGATTTCCCCCTGTTTTAAACAAGGAAATCTTTTAAATATCTTCACGTCGTTAAGGAGATACAACATCGCCAGGAAAAGTTTTTTTCCATTATTGGAGTGGTTAATTCCTTTCACTTCCTCATAAAAATGCACACACAATGGGCAAATATACCTGTAACTATGCTTTTACGTGAACGTAAAGTAGTTCAGCCATTCTTTCTGTACAAAGGCACGCTATTTACAACATTCATTACACACAATGTAAATGTAAACATTTTTCAATAAAATTATGCTGCAATGACTGCAAATTCCATACGTATTTTGGGACGTTTTTCTTTCCTTTTAGAAATCAGTGGTTTCAGTGCCATGCTAGGATCTCAGTAGGACATACAAGCCATTATATCAACATGCAATTTGATTGACGTAAAAGTCTGGGGACAGAACAAATGTATGGATTAGACTTCATATCAAAGCAACTCCATATGGCAAGGTATAAGAGCTTTACATGCAATTAACTAAATCAAATATATGCTTTTAGTGAGAAAGCGCTATAAAATTCATGATTCAGCAGTACTTGCACAATTTGCACACCACCATAATCACAATTGAAGGAACTTGGCTTCACAATGGAACAAGAAAGGCTAGGGTGAAGATACAGCATATTAGCCTGGAGCTGATGTTCAGGTTAAAAAGAAACAGATCTGTGAAGTAATTTTGCAGCTTTCTACTATGCCTTTAGACATAGTCTTTGTCCCTTGTATTGTATCTGCGTTTTATGTTGTGGGCCCAAAGTTTAGAACTTGGACAAGAATGGTGGGGTTTTGGGTATCATTTCTCAGATCCATACCATTAAGAACAGGGGTGTCAAACTCACGGCATCACATTGTCGCCACGTAATGTATTGCAACTTTTTCCCCCTTCGCTAAACCGGGGGTGGCCATGCCAGCGCGTGACACATCTGGCTGGTGGGCCGTGAGTTTGACACCTGATGAAGACCATCCTATTCTATAGACATACTAAATTCCACAAATCTGTTTCTGTTCAATTCAATTCAGTTCCACACAATGCGGTGCAAAGGTAAACCCAGTCTTAATTTCCCCTTCAAATACTGCCAATACGGATCAACAACTGAGAAATGAAAGGTTGAGGTTATCCGTAATTCTGATATGTTTTTAAACTGATTGCTACCTTTTCATAAGGATATGGTATAACTTATAAAATATGGTATAGCTTGATTAGCTGAGGGGGTTCTCAGTCATCCAGGTCATGGTTGTCCCAAAGGCGCTTTTTCAAGAGGCAACTGGGCTTTCTGGTTTTTCTTTGAAGATGTTTTACTTCTCATTCAAGAAGCTTCTTGGATGAGAAGCAAAACGTCTTCAAAGAAAAACCAAGAAGTCTAGTTGCTTCTTGAAAATGCACCTTTGGGGTATGGTATAGCTTATTTTATAAAATAGAAGAAATGTACATTGACAGCCCCTAGGGAATACACATTAAGCATAACATGGTGGTGTTTCCTAAACAGAATGGCAATATAATTATTTCAACATCAAGCTAATAGCACTTGGTCCAAGTAAAACATTATCACTTCAATTCTTTTAGAGCAATGGATAGCTTCTACCTAAGTGATGGGCTGGTAAATGGTTCATTTTCCTGCTGTATAACTGTAATTTTAGAAGATTAGAAGTTATGCCAGAGGTCAGATAGTTCACCATGATTGCTTCATACTGTCTTTCATTAACAGTAATTTTCTTCAGCCACACTGGATTCGGTTACTCTCAACGATGGCCACTTCATTATAAAGTGGTCTATTTTTCTTTCCAGTGTTATCACGTTGGCAGGTCATTTGGACACATGCTATTTTCCTCAGCAGTATCAGTCCATTCCTCATTTTGGTAGGCTGAAAGGAACAAGTTTTCTAACTGTGTCAGGAATTCTTCAGCAATGAAGCTATTGGCTACACTGTCCAGAGTCTTCCTCATGCACTCCAAAAGCTAGTTTTAAGATGGAAGAATAAAGACAAAAATAATGTCAGAGTTGCTGAAATAACATTTAGGAGTTGAGGAGTAGCGGGGAGAGCAACTATACATTTATTATGATTCTTTAACCAAAACCTATTAAGACCTTAGCTCCAGGTTTATTTACATATACTCACAAATGTATATCACACACGCTACTTACAACTAGCTATGACAAATTCAATAAATTGCTTTTCTGCAGTGAACATTCTTCATGATGAATAGCCAGTTTGTTAATGGAGTTGTACTTCATATTCTGCTACAGAGGTATTATATGTGAAACATGTCAAACATTACCCAATGCAAATATTCTATATATAGAAAGCCGTATCAGTAGCTTTGCAAACATGTCTCTTCAATCCAAGAAATCATGTTCTGTGCTGCTCTGCAATTTTTGTGAGACTTGTTAAAATGAGAGTTGCAGCACTAATGCTTATTACATCATTTATCCATCAAAGTTTACATAAGGATTTCTTGAGATAATGATGGTCCAAATTCATTCTGCGGCATGTTATAGTACATGTGGAGTTTGAATTTGGGGGACTGTTGGTTGGGGATTGGAGGCTTTCTTGGGAAATATTATTTGACTGGTGTTTGGAAATGGTGCTAACCTTATTAATCTAATGTATCGTGTGAATCAGTCACTTGAATGAATGAGAGTATATTTAGTTCCATTGATTCAACAAATTTATGGAACTAGATATAATCTACTATCTGCTCCTCACTTTTCAGCTGTTGCATAGAGGAAGCTTGCTGGAGTGCCAAGTGAAATATCTATAAAAAACAAGATCTCCCTAAGCCTGAAGAACCTCAACTAGAAGTACGTAAAATTCATGTAATGATCAACAGATCATTGTAAACAAAATCATGCAGACTACCACTGATGGGAAAAGGTAAATGTGAAAAGACTCAGTGTGGGGCCATTCATTTCTGCAAGGATCATCTGTTGGGGTAGAATTCTGGCCATTTAAAGCTCTTTAAGGTTTATATATCTTGATGAAAATCAAGACAGCCAGGCCATAGGTTTCTGAAGACAAGTTTAATCTACCCAAGAGAATTCTATTTTGTCAAGCTTTCATTTATTTCAGTATTTTATAAGAGTGCGTTGCTTGAGAGCCTCAGCAAAGAAATGGTAAACATATGCAAATAAGTAACCAATAATTCACAGACTTTTAGCACAATTTCTCTCACATTTAACAAGTTGGATCCAGATTTAGATACACTTAGCACAGACAACCCAAACCAATGCCGTGAGTTATCATACTTAGAACAGATCTACTGAAATCAGAATCCAACTCAAGATTTCTATAGTAATTAGGCACAATTATGCTGCCTGAAATTTCAGGTGAGAAATGAAGAATTTTATAATATTACCTTCTGCAAACACGTTAGGTCTGAATCTCTATGGAAGATTTTATCCATGGGCACACAACTATTGAATGAAACATGGCAAGACAATGTCAGAGGATACATAAAAGTGCTTTTTATTGAAATACATACTAATTAGGACTAACTTGAAAGGTTCCAAAATGCAAGCAGCTACACACCTATGAGACAGTCTGTATTTTTCAATTATCCACTGTGTTTTTTCTAATACTAGCTCCCACTGAGGCTCTTCCAACATTTGTTGCACTTCAAACTTGTATGGTAGGCCTGTAAGCCATTAAAACATATATCACATTATACAGAATCATATACAAAAAATGCTGCTCTTTGATTTAAAATTTATTGTTCACCTCCCTTTATTTGCACTGACAAAAAATGCACAACACTGGTTTATAACATCAAGACCTTGATCTAATTATCTTAATTATAGACCAAATTAGCTTAAGTTCTAAAATCAGGTTCAAATCTGTGTCGAATTGCTCATTTAATTGCTTGTCCATAGTATAATTGAGCAGAAAATGCATGCCTTGTTAATTTTAAAAGTGAGATGTATTATATAAACTATAAAGCCATTTGATTATAACTGGAAACATTCAACATCTTGGATACTCAAACCTTTAATTATTGAAATTGATATTAATTTCTTTTCCTCTCCTTTCTACCACAGATAATCCTATACTCCAATTTATATAAATTTCAATTGTCTTCATGCTTTGGATATCAATTTACAAAGGATTATTGATAATATCAAGAGATTAAAAGCTAGATACAGATTTTATAAATCCCCGGGCAAGTTCTCTTATTGGTTAGTTTTTCTAATTTAACCAGGCTGCTCTGCAGATAATATTTTTAAGAACTGGATTTAACTAAATTACTCAACCCCCAAACCTGCTTTCTACAATTTTCCTGTACACAGGCATTTCAGATACTAAGACAAACATATGTTCATTTATCTAGATTCTAGACCATTAAAGACAAAAAAGATAATTTATATACTGTACTAGTTACTGAATGTAGTCAAGCAGATGCTAGCAACCATCTGACAGTCTGAACTTCAGACTGAATCTGAGTTCTAACATTCTAGTACAAACAAAAAACAAAACAACTGAACTGTTCAGGTATCAGGCATAAGAGTAATACAATGCTCCCCCTTCGTAAGTACACTTAAAAAAAAGACCCCAAATCGACCAATATAATATAATCTTGCACATTTTGCCTCCCATAAATATTATGAAGAAATGTTCAATTCTGTTAGTTTTGGATCATTTTAAAAATATTTTTTTAAAACGTGTAATTTAAGTTTGGAGTGTATAGATGTCTCCTAGGAATGTTACGATCACTGATGTGCCTATAAATGCTGCATTGCTAATCACAAGGCATTAGTGATTAGTATATGGGTCTAGTATAATTGCAACATGATCCAGATTTTAATTAAGTACTCTTAAAATTGATATGTACTTCCACTTTTCAGTATTCTTGAGCTAGTATGGGCATTTCTGAGAAGTTGGGGAGTTGGTCCACAATAAAGGCTGGTATTTAGGGTAAGGGGAGCCTTACTTACTCCAACCCCCAAAGCTTGCTTCACTGTAAATGCAAATGCAGGTGACAGATCCATGTAACACTAGCACCTCCGTACTTAGATTCAAATTCATTCATTAACATTCAGTTTGTAAAAACTAGCATATACTTTTCTTCCCCACCTCCAAGGCTTCCAATTAAGCATATCTTAATTATAATGACTCTTTCTCTTATCTCTCCAAAGCTTGCTTTTAAAACACATTGAAATAGAACCTATAACAGAGAGGATTATTTTAAAAACCACTTACGGTAGGATCCATCTGAACTAGTCTCATCGCTAATTACAAGACAAGTGAGCTGAGAATATGGAAGAGGATTATTTCGATTGTAAGGACTTATAATCATTCCAACAAACATTGAGCCACCTCTGGAAAAATAGCTCTGGAGAAAAAGAAGAACGCAATAAACAAAATATGTACTTTTCTTTCTCTGCATAAAATTAATCATAATGCAAATGTATCAATTAACAGTGGCCTGTTGTAGTTTTATTATTCAAAGTTGTATACGGATAATAAATAAACAGCAATATTTCCAACAGTGATGAGTTCTACCCTTTTTATCCAACAGGGAGATGTTACCTGGTATTTTGCCTGGGTATCAATATCACGTAGGGAAGGATTAGGGTCAAAGGCAGGATGAGAATGGTACCATCCAATGATACTGTAACCTCTAGCAGCAAGTATCTCTGATGCTTGTGTTTGAGATACTGGATCCATTTCACACTGCAAGCCTGTACTAAGGCTATTGCAGGGTTCTGCTGCACAGACCTGTAAGTTAATAAACATGGAGGATTTAATGGGGATGCTACAATTGAATGATTTTTTTTAGATTCTGAAGAACTTGTTCTATTTTAACATGGATGTCTGAATTCCAAATGTACAGTGATCAAGCTCTTAAGCAGATGCTCATAAATGGATACTTTAATATACTCTGGTTCAATTTAGTCCACTGTAATTCATTTCTTGTATTCCAAAGTATTCCCTGAAGTAGTAACACAACTGTTTCCCCTGTTTCTTTATTTCCCTAGAGGAGACATAAGAAAGCATCCCCATAGCGACCAGCATGATGTCTATTATTCATAACAAATTGGTAAAAGCCCTTTTAAAATTAAAAAATAAATATGGTACTTACTTCAACTATTCCATCCGTTTCAGAATATCTTCCACCTAGCAAACCAATTACTTCTGCCATTGAAACATGAGCATGCTAAAAATACATGGGGGAGGGAATAATAATTCAATAATCATTTGTAAAATGTTGGCAATCTTTGCCCACTTTCATTCTCTCCCCAACATAAATAGAAAAGAAAAAAATAAGACTTTTTATGTATGATGTACACTGAAGATGGCATTTAATTTCGTTGTACGAGGTGCAACGACAATAAAGTAATTATTATTAATTTTCTTAAGTATTGTGCTTAGAGACACTAGAAGCCTATGTGATAAAGCTCTATAAAACAAATACTACCTCTTGAATTGTTACAAATGGGTAAGTTAGAAGATGAGAAGTTACTAAGCTTCTCAGAGAGGGAAAGATATACTGAGATGGAGTTTTATCTATTGTCCCTAATTGATAAACAAATAAAACAAGCAGGAAAATATGTTAGAAGACTACATTTACTGAATACAAGTTATGAATACAAGTTATCATATGTAAGATGTCATACAGAGCACATATATGAGACAAACTTATTTGCAGGATATTTTCTCAGAGACATTAAAACATCATTATTTTTAATATAACTGGAAATAAGAAAAATGGGCTATTTCTCCTATAAATCCGTATTAAGAGTCTTAAATGTGTACTAGGATTTATGCATTTAACCATGATAGCAGAATCGGTTTAAGTTATATCAATCATTAGTTAATTAATATGCATTTATAATGCACCAAAAAGATTGCAATTTTATTTAATCATGACAATTATTTAACTAATTTAAAGCCATTTTGTAAGGTATTTCAATAGAACAGGCCTTACCAAATCCATGATCAGAAGTGCTTCTGCAGCTACTGACACTTTGAATGGCTCCTGAAAAGATAAAACTGATAAGAAAAGTTTGCTTAAAGAGGCTAAAACATGTTCATCTTTCAACATTCATACTTACTTGTTTTTCTTCTGTGTAAGAACAGCAAGGGATCAGCTGAAAGGGATCAAATGAACTATAGAATGAAAAAAGAAATATCTTAAATTGCAGAAGTAACGGAAGGATGACATTTAAATGTTGCATAATTTTTTTCATATTTTTAGTTTGAATTCCAATATACCAAGTGTTCATGATTGGTTCAAATAAGCACTTTTATGTGTAAGAAAAAAATTCAATGGACATATTTTGATCTTTTTACTGCAGTGCGAACGTTATAGAATGAATTTAACTCAATTAATATTAATCTTAAATTCTTCTGACAGGAAACTTTCAAACCTAACATCTCACCATTTTTTTTCCAAAGAGATTTTACAATTAAAAAAACAAACCTTTTGGTGTGTCTTTGTCCTTTAAATGCTTTTGATAGTTTATATTTCTGATCTTCTCTCCTCTTTGCTAGCTCCTCAGCAGAGAGATGCTAAAAACAAAACATATGCATTAAGTAAACCACCAAGTAAGTAAACCAAGTATTAAACATACTTAGGCTCAAAGAAATCACTGACCTGGAGAATGCTTAATTTAGTTGTCCCTCTACCAATGCTAACAGCTGCTACCACAATTAAACTAGCATTATGTCAAATGCACTTAAGTGTCAGAAATGCAAATTCCCTCTCCAGAAGTCAAAACAATTTCCCTCAGTGAAAAGAATTAACATTCAGCAATTTGCCATTGGTAGGCTGCGTAGGCATTTTAAAATATTAAAACATACTATTCTGCCAAGTATTTCTACTTTAGTTTTTGCCTGCCCTTATTTATAGACAACTCAAGATGGCATACATAACTAAGGTTCCCCTTTTCTATTTTCCGCACAGCAACAAATCTGTAAGATAGGTTGGGCTAAAAGAGAGTTCCCAGGCCAAAGGCATCTAGCTGGCTTTCATGCCTAAGGGAGGGCTAGAACTCAGAAATATCTGGTCTGTAGCCCAGCACCTAAACCACAATACCAAACTGAGTCTTAATGGCACTTTGATCTGTTTCTCCATAGGCTATCTAATCCTTAGCTAAGAAAACTGGATAGTTATCATCAACAAGATTAAAACATTCAACTAGCTCAGTAACGATAGGGCATTCAAAGGAATCTTACAGATATAAGATAATCACAATTCTTAATTTCTTATGAGGTATATGATCTCATAATACAAAAATCCCATATCTGATTTTAATAGTTAAATGCCGTGTTCAATATTTTAATGCTTAAACGAAAAATATTCTCTTTTCTGAACTCTTAGGGGCTACAAATCTATGGCTCCTACGTATTATTCTAAACCACCCGGACTGGGGAAAAACCCGGAAAAATTGGGGAAAAAAGTTTTCCAAATGGCTTTGGAAAAAAACAGCTTTTCCCATTTTTTCCAGTTTCTTTTCCCCAGGCCTTCCCATCTCTACCCTCACCGCACCCCCAAAGTTGAAGTGGTATTCTGACAATCAAGAGGGGCATCCGACACCCTTTCCCTCAACCTCCAGACATTGAAAGACCCACCTGGAGGCATAGCTACAACTGGGCGATGTGGGTTCCAGGAAAGGGTAGCCTCCTAGCTGTATGCTCAAGCAAGTTCAGGAGTCTAAAATGTTATTACCTCAAACGTCTGTCCTTCCAAATCTCTGGCGTCACACCAGTTTCCCCATGGGTCTCTCACTCGCCGCCGTCTCGTGCGCTGTACCAAACAGAAATACACTCACACGTCTATCCAAAGTGCACCAAGGGCAGAAAGCTCTCTTCATAATTTATGAAGGACTGTCACAAAAATATTGTAATGTACAGTGATCCAGATTGCCACTCTCCTTACCAGCTGATGAATATAGATGACACATGAACTTTAGCTGACCCAATCTGACCCATTTTTACTCTTTCCAGCCTCGCTTCCTAACTCTGCATATAATAACGCAATGCAGAAGAAAATTACAGAAAACTCCTACAGCAACAGCAGATGAAGAGGCTGGAAAAAAAATACCAGAAGCCATGCTGGGCCTGTTTTCCCTCTCTAGCTATTCTTTCCAACCTAGCACTGGGGGGGGAAAGTATGTAAATAAGCTCAAGTGTCTGCCTATTTGGTCAAGCTAATCAATTCTTAAGATTTGTACCAAATGTGACAATGTGAAAAAGAGAAGCCATGAAAAGAAGAGTTTTGAAAACTGGTTGGATTTAGCAGGAGACTGCGGAGAAAACAACTCCAGAAAAACAATTGGCCAACAATGCAGAATGTTGCCAGCTGTTTCATTCTAAGCTTCCCTCCAGTCATGTGACTACAAATTGAGCTGCTTTTAAAGCCCGGGGGCGGGGGAATCCTGGAATCGTGCATGCTAGGTGGGCTTTCTCTCATTTGTTTTACTTTGTATTTATATAGCCTCAATTTTTCCTCATAATCAACTGCATCGCTTAGCAATTCTGGTTCCAATTACCACCATTAAGCAAGGACTAGCTGTACAGTGCATTAACTGGTGGCTTCAGTTTTTGAGAACGATAGTCATTTCCTTTGCCTCAGCCTCCAAATTTAAACATATTGACTTGAAAATAAATAACCACTACTACATATTTGTCAATGATCTAGTTGAGAGCAATATGTAATTTAACAAAATCTCTGCCTCATGGGTAGAATGCCAATACATAATTTATGAAGTCAAAAAAATCTCAGCACCGTGTCAAAAAATGTATTCAAGTTTGCGTTCCTACAAATATGATTTTCAAGCTAATGCAGTCGAAAGAGAATGAGAGAAAAATAACCCAAAGAATCACAAAGACATGAGCCTGTTTTCCATCTCACCATAGATTGTAGACGTTGCACGAGCTGATACGCGTCAACAGCATCCTTGCCTTCCCTGGGCCGTACTTTGTCAACTGTTTGCGGTCTATTATACACAGCTTGCTCTGTAAGGGTGAAGAGACGTTGTCCTTCAGTCTACACTTTAGACAGAGGCTCAAAAAACAACTAACCCCAGGGCCAAAATCAAATATCTGATGACAATATTAACTTTGCACTTATTTTAATTCAATCATTCAAGTTAAATTATGTGACTAAATAGAGCATCACTTCCAAAATAAATAAATAAATAATCAATTTGCTAATTTACTGTATATGTCTTTAGAATCAGCAAAGCCTTGTAAATGACGGACCCAGAACTGTTATAAGTTACATAAATAAGGCTACCTACATAGGAGCATACAAAAGGGGAGTCAGGATGTAGAGATATTACAATATAGCTAGGTATTACACAAAATTAAGGAAAATAGTAAAATAATACTATGTTATAGATATGGGAACCAAGTTTTGCAACAACCAAGATATTGACTCTACTCTTATTTTTCTTCTGGTGACATTATTACAAGATCTCATAATAAAACCAATACATTTAGGATTCATATATTTCCTCTTCCATATATTTCACTGAACAATCATTGAACAATTCCCTCATTTGTAAGACAAAGAGACCTATTTCTGGCACATGAAGTGGGAGTATTTGAAAAAAAGCACTTAAGAAGAAAAACCTTGAGCGCCTTTGTTGCCACTGACCACTAAGAAAATTCAGTGAAGAGAAACAAGAGAACTAATTTATCAAAAGATGCTAATTTGTTTCTAATATCTTACACAAGGATAAAGTTGTTTTATTTCATTTTCTGGCACACTATTCATAGAATATTTGTTAACAACTAACACACCTGACCTTCTCATATAGAATCCAAATCAATTACGCATACACTCAGAACTCCTGATGAAACTTCACTTAATTTTTAAATGGCCTTCAGCCCACAAAAGCTACTGCCATAATTCAATAGGATACTTTTTGATACCAAAAGCCCTGCTGTTGTTTACCACAAAGAAAAAATACAAATTTTTGGTAATGAAAAAAGAGAAATTATGAGTTCTTGATTCTCTGGGCTAGATAGACCTCCAAGCACAATAAACGTATTTTTAAAATGCTGTTTCTAATCTTTATTATCCTTCCACCTCACGTCCACCAGCACTTTCTAAAAGCAAAGGTTCAGTAGAATTGTCTATGTCTTTGGTAGTTGTGAGCTGCTTTGGAGACTTTTCTAAAAAAAAACAAAGGATACAGATGTAAACCGAATGATTTTTTTTTTTTTACCACAGCCAAAGTTAATTGCTCCTATTAATTCCAGGTATGTATGTATTCGTCCAATACAGTTGACATCACCACAATTCTTCAGCCCTGGACGTACTGATGTCTTGTTCAGGTATTTTGGTTTGATTCTTTCCCTAAAACCAAGTGGAATCACAATTAAAAAATATAGATTTGACATATCTAAACGTATCTCATAATTTCGTGTGTGTGTGTCATGAAAGCTATCAGATGGCTGCCATTCTTCTAGATAATTTCTATTGAAGCGATAAAAAGTGATGAAAGCCAGTTGGTGACCTTAGGAAGGATATTCTGTCTCAACCCAACCCTACTTTAAAGGGTTAATGATGTGGGCAAAATAGGAGTTAAAGAATTAGGTAAGTTTGCTGCCTTGAGTTATATATAAAGACAGGACAAATCTATAATAATAATAGTATTTCCATAACAGCCATAGATTTGGCAGCAAGAGAACGATTGGCCTTAAGTCTGCCAGTAATATCTCAGTTGTAGATCTGACTGCTCTACAGTTTTGCAGATAACTGAAAGTTATCAGGGTGCACAAATAGGGGGAATAGATGGCTACCAAGTCATGTATTGCAAATGGACACCAGATAACAGTGCAAGTTTATCAAAAATACACAAACTCTTGGACTTCCGGTTTGCAACCTTTCGGCGGCGGCAGGGATTTGCGACCGCGCGATCCCTGCTGCGTTCACCGCCAAGGTTCCCCCGATCCATTTGGATCTGGGGGATATAGCTGCCCCGCAGAGGCAGCTGAAGACAGGGGGGATCCGGCAAGGGGTTTGGGGGTGTCGCAAACCCCCTCCCCAGTCGGCGAAACCCCCTTTTCCCGAGGCGGAGGAACGGCGGTCAGCAATGGCCGCCACGAAGAAAGCTGCAGCCGGACAAGCAGGTGCAGGAGGGAGGAAACTGAAAGAAAAGTGAAAGTTGATTCTAACCGGGACAAGACGTGAGAAAATGACCTGGAATCTTGAAGGCTGCTAAGTATATATTGTTCCCTGTGAGAGTTTTAAGCTGCGAATATTCTAAAGGCAAAAGTTCTTTCTTTGTTCTACTCTCCTTTCTAAAGTGACAGCGGAAAAAAAACAAAAAAAACCTTTTTGGCTATGAGTGGGAAGGGAGAGTGAAAAAAAGAATTAGAGCAAAATTTGAAAATAAGGAGAAGATTGCCTAGAATTATAAAGAGTTTAAAAACTTCCAAAAAATATATTTGAAAAGGATTTGTGATTACTTTAACCCCAGAAAAAGAAAGTGAAGAAGAAGAAGGTATTTAAAAGAAATAGTCTGTTTGGATTGTTTGGTGACTTTGGAACCTTTGGAAATTACTTCTGATTAAATCATCTGGGTGGTTGTTTGGAAAAACTTTTTCTCTACACAATGGCATCATCTATGGATGAATTGGAACTTATATATCAAAAATTTGAAAGAGAAAAACAAGGAGGGGAAGATGGTCTTGACACTATTTTCCAATACTTAGAAATGGCGGTTTATACTTATGTGAAGCAGAATGAGGATGATGGGGACAAAGAAGAAGGAGAAGCCATCTTTGATGAACAAATGACTTTGACTGGAGAAGAGAAAAAGCAAGAGAAAAAGGGAAAAAGGTCTTTAAGATCTGGAAAAATAGCCCAAAAAGAGAAGAATAAGGTGAAAAGGGGACATTATGTTAAGAAACAGAAAGGGGGAAAGCAGAATAAAAGGGAGGTGGAGAGACAAGGGGTTAAAGAGGATAAGGAGAAGAAGAAACAAGAAAGGAAGGGATGAGAAGTCCTAATGGTGGGGAGCAAGATGTTAAGAAGCAATTTTTTTTTAGAGATAATGGATAAGCTTTATGGTTAAAGGGATTCTAGAAAGGTACATAAGACTGCATTTTTATACTTGTATTTAGAAGTAAACATAGAAAATTAGAAACAATATGTAACATAAAATGTGATAAAATATTTAACATAAATTAGTGAAATTTTTGGTTAAGAAAAGGGAGTACTGTAACGAAACATGATTCAAGATTGTGATGTGGGGGGGGGGGGGGGAATAATCTTTGAAAAGCATAAGGGTTCCC